ATCAGCATGGTTACGACCTTTATTTTGAATTCTTTTTTTAGGAAGATTGGTTATATCTATCTCCCCAGGCCCTCTCTCGGGAGTTGTCTGGGTGATTCTTGACTGGACCAAATTCTTCTGCCTTTTCATGGCAATAGAGGTAGTTGTAGGCAGGTGGTGCATGTGTCAGCTGGGAGAACAAGTCCCTTCCTGTATGCTGTTTGCCTTGCCTTTCTCCGCTACCTGTATCCATTACCTGCACACCGGGAACTGCCTCTGGATCAATCTCCTGAGCTGCCGTGTGCGGGGCAGCCCTCGGGGTAGCCCAGATCCCTTTGGGGAGTGGCAGGCACACCAGATGTGTTCTTCTGCGATAATGGCACTCCTTTGTGCCTTGTCCCTGCTTCCTCTGCCTGTGCCAGGGAGCTGTGTGCCAGCAGTAGCCTCTCTGTCTGGCCCGGGTAGCTGTGCACTGGGAGGAGACTCTGAGCAGTTGCTTTGGGTGGGTGGGGCTGCTCTCTGGCTGCTTGGCCACTGTGGCGGGGCAGCACTGGCCAGGGGGAACGAATGGCCAGGCTGCTTATCGCTGTGAGGGGCTTCAGAGCTGTGTTGCCACCCAGGGGTTTAGGACGCCTGAAATTCCTCAGGATTCCCAGCCTGCTGGACTTAGTGTGCCAGGACGATTCCGTCCAGCTGTTATGCCCCTGTCGCTTTAGGACTTTAAAAAAGCACTCGCTTTTCTTTTGTCCCAGGGGAACTGGCTGTGTAGACCCACTTGCAGTCTCCATCTCAGATTTTACTTTCGGTATCCCTAATATCCAGCACACCATGCAATGTGTGTCTGTCTGCCGGGTGCAGATTACTAGGGCTCATTATTTAGCAGTCCTGTGCTTCCACTCCCTCCCCTCTGTACCTCTTTTCTTCCCGCCGGTGAACTGGGGTGGTGGGAGTGCTCAGGTCCCACTGGGTCACAGCTTTGTATCTTACCCCCTTATTGAGATGCTGAGTTCTTGCAGATGTAGATGTAGCCTGGCTCTTGTACTGTATCTTCTGGTCTCTCTGTTAGGTGTAATTGTATTTGTTGTATTTGCAAAAATATGTATGGTTTTGGGAGATTTCTGCTGCCATACTCATGCCACCATCTTGGCCCCTCCTCCAGATTTCCTTTTATTTCTTTCTTACTTTATGAAGCAAACTTCCATGCACATTAATAATGATGTGTTATTGAATGGTTTCAGTTCATTTTAAGAAGTAGTTTCTCATATAACTAGAATTTTCTGAATAGATAAAACTGAAAGTTTTCGTGATTCTGGTGTGAAGTACACAGATCTTTCTGTTGTAGTGTTATGTATTATATATTTCTAAAAATACTAAAATACTGTGCCCAACTGATAGGTCAACTTACCCAAAACATATGAAGCTTTGTAACCAGAACATTAATAAAAATAAGTCTTAATAAAAGTACTAAAATATCTTAGAAGACTTACTAAATTTGTTACAATTTAAAAATTAAGTTATTTGTAACAAATACTGCAATTTAGGATTTTTAATAAATGTAGGTAGCCTGATGGAAGGGTGTGCAAGGAAGGGTTGAAGCTACAGGGCTATGGAGGCTAGAGTAAATCGTATCAAGATTTGGAGAGAAGAGCTTTTTAAGCACTTCCAAGAAAACGCATGTGGCCAAGCTGTGCCAAGAAGAAGAACATGGATTGAGTGAGAATTGTGTACAGTACTGTATTTTCAGTAGCTTGCTGCTTTCCACTTTGTTACGCTGTTTTGGGTTAAGATTGTTATTACTTAGTATTGCAAAAACATAAGCTGGTAAAAATCAGGTATAAACCAATGTGATTTTCACATTATACTAAAATCTTTTCCCTATTTACCAGAGAGCTAATTTGTGTTACAGAAACCTTGGTAATAGAATAGGCTGTGCTGAATGTAAGAGGTGGCTTCTGTTTTTCACTTAAGGCCTTTGATAAGTCCATGACCTTTTTGTGATTTGATTCTTTGTGAAATGGAAATACCACAACTAAAAATAATCTAGCACAACCTTTTCTCCATGAGTATATTGTTTTAATTTTAACTTTAAAATATTAAAACATTAAAGAAAAATGGAAACTAGAACAAAGAAAAAATTACCATTTACTTTTATAAACCACTGTTAGCTTTTTCTTCCTTTCTACTTTTTCACCAGTTTTTACTACACTTTTTTACTTCCCAGTTTTTAACAGTCATTTCTAATGACTACTGAATATTAGATTCTATATGCTTTCATTTAATTAGCTATTTCTCTATAATATGTAAGTTCATAATTTGTGGATGAACATCTGTGTGTGTGTGCATGTGCGTGTTTATAAGAGAAGAGAATCTTTTTCCTACATAGGATTATTTCACTAATGTGATTCATAAGTGGAATTATTGGGTTAAAGAATATGACATTTTTAATGATTCTTGATGCATATTGCCAGTTAACTTTCTAAAATATCCCTAGATCCTTGCCCAAAATTGTACAATTTTTAAGAATTATTGCAAATTTGGGTAAAAATAGATACTGTTATTTTTATCTGGTATTTCTGCTTCCTATATACCAGGTACTGTGCTCATTATAGTATGCTATTTGACATCACATTTTTGTTTTGCTTTGTATTTCTTTGATCATCAATGATGTTGAATATTTTGTAATATTTGTTTGCTATTTATGTACTTAACTTGTGTGGAAAGATCACTTACCTATTGTGGTGCACTTAGTGTTGTAAGTGTTCTAAGTGGATGGTGTTCTAAAGTATTCTAAAAGGAGAGTTTAGAAATCACTTTTCTCTCCTTGAAAATACAGTGACAGTTCAAACCTTACTAAGAGAATGTCAGTACTTGATTATTTAACAATGCGTGGCTGTCCACTTTGCATTATCATTGCAATATTTGCTGCCATAATATTGCTATGCATCTTAAAATAGTGGGATTTTATTCTAAACTTGTGACTCAGAGGAGTTACATATTTGCCACCATCTGAATTGTTGTCTGTAATCAGATATTCTGATATCTGTTAGCAATATCTATCTGTTTTAAATTTGAGATAATTAAGATTTGAGTACATACGCATACCCAACAGTTCATTAAGATTTACTAGGAATACAAAGTAAAAGACTATTCCTTATGAGATCCACATTTGGGAAGAAAGGACTCAGTAGTAGGGTAGAGTAACTGGAGGTGATGTTTTTTAAAGCCCATAACATAGTGCCTGTAATATAGTAAAATCTCAGTAAATGTCAGTCATTACAATTTGGTACTCAATAACCTCTGTATGTAATTGAAGATAAATGAAAATACAGGTGAAAAGCAAAAGTGGACCATTAGAAATTAGTCATTCCATTCTTTGAACGCTGAGTGTGAAAAGTTTTTGTTTTTCTTTAAGGAAGAAAGACTTTATTCAACCAATGAATTCTCATCCATCATATTTTTAAAATTCTCTATGAGTAGAGAGACTTCAATGGTAAAACGAATACTTTGGACAGTTACATCTCTGAAATAATACTTGTGCACATCTGCACAGATGCATATGTTGATGTATGTCTGGTTTTTGTAATTAATTTGAAATGGAAACTAACTTTGTTACAGTTTTATTTTTCCTTTTTACAGTGTCTTGTGTCCAGTTATAGATATAGGTATACATGAAAGAGATAGGATATTGATATGGAGAGAACATTGGTACTCATAGGTATAGGTATATATACTGTTACCAGGATAGTGAGTGGCTAAGAGTTTCAGTTCTGAAGTCAGTCTGCCTGGCTTTTCCTGGTGTTGCCATTTACTGTTCAGGCATCCTCCAACAGGATGCTTAATCTAAGTCATTTTCCTCTTCTATAAAATTGGGTTAATAAAAGGGCCTACTTTATAGGTTTAATTGCCTGTTAACTAGGATATAGTATATAGTGTCTGCCACAATGACTGGTCCCCTAAATATTAGCTGATGCTATCGATAACTGAGTGCTCTGAGATCTGTTTCTATATGTTATATTGACTGGTTTTCATAATTCTTGGAGTAACCTACTGGCTATGTTTTAAGTAAAATAAAACTGGTGGTTCCTCTGTTATTTTGGTTGTATAAGCATAAGTAGATTGAATAGAAGACATAGAAGGTTTTTCTCTGAATTCAGAAATGAGGTACCTTTATTAACCATTGTAAAGGAATTAAATAGCATGTTTATCTTGTCATTTTCCTCTTTGGCCAGTTCTCCTATTATAATTTTTTAAATTTTGATGTTTCAAAAACAAAAGTCATTTGAGGAAACAGAAATAAAAAAGGATAGTTTAGAAACAGCATTTCCCCACCCCACCCCTATGGATAGGTCAGATTTTATTAAGAGAATATCAGCATTTCATTGTCAGTGCTTGATGAGGTGATACAGAATCAAAGTTAAAAATACTGGAATTTACATAAATAATAAATTTATATTAACTATAATTTTGTTGGAAATGTATTTAGTGAGTTATCTTTTTTAGTTGGATATATTGTAAAAATATTTATCTTTATAGTAAACATAACAGATTTAGAGGAACAGTTTATTTGGATTATTGTGTAAGCAATATTTTTAATTTGGTTATTTTCTGTATTGAACCATATGTATGACTATTATAGTAGGTCATAGATCTTTAAGATATGTAGATTATAAAGTCTTAGAATTCAAAGAAATAATCTTTTCACTTTTAAGAACTTATTAGGCAGTTACTGTGGGCTAAGGACTTTAATGTATTCAAAATACATTTTTTTATTCTGATAATACCACTCATATATATGGTGTTATAATGCTGCATTTTATTTACAGCCATTTTAAATAAGGTGAAATAAGTTTTGTTCTTGTACTGTAACTTTAGTGTCTTCATGACATGAATGTCGTGCTTAAATATATAGGATAATTGCAAAATTTCTATGATTTAGGGATATTTAAATATGCATTTTCTTTTTCCATGAACTTAAGAATTTTAAGTATTGTAATGATTGATCATTGTTTCCTTTGTTGCAGAATTGTAAGAGTAAATGGGTCCAGTAATTGGAATGACTCCAGAAAAGAGAGCTGAAACGCCTGGAGCTGCAAAGGTTGCAGGATTAAGCCAGATTTACAAAATGGGAAGCTTGCCTGAAGCTGTTGATGCTGCCAGGCCAAAGGCCACTCTAGTGGATAGTGAGTCAGCAGATGATGAACTCACAAACTTGAACTGGCTTCATGAAAGTACTAATCTTCTAACAAACTTCAGCTTCGGAAGTGAGGGTCTTCCGATTGTAAGGCCATTGTATGACATAGAGGGAGATGACATGCCATCCCTAGGACTGTCCTGCTATCAGAACACAGAGAAAAAGTCAGCAACCTCAAAGCCCCCATACTCCTTTAGTCTTCTCATTTATATGGCTATTGAGCAGTCTCCAAATAAATGTTTGCCTGTTAAAGAAATTTACAGCTGGATTCTGGACCGCTTCCCTTATTTTGCTACTGCACCCACAGGCTGGAAGAATTCTGTTCGACATAATCTGTCCCTGAATAAATGTTTTCAGAAAGTGGAAAGAAGCCATGGCAAGGTTAGTGTTTATTAACATTGATATGTATTTGGGAAGGTTGGGAAAAATTAACGTGGAAGACTTAAAATATGGGGAAATCAAAAGAAGGCAAAAAAAAATACCTAAATTACATCAGCTTGAGTTTAATTGCTTTCATTTGAGGTATTTTTAAATGTCTTAAATATTAATATAAATCTAGCAAAATTATGTTCATTCTACTATATAGGTACATTATCTAGTTTTCTTAATGTTCTAAATTTCTACTCTTATTTTCTTATACTTAGTAGTTTTCCTGTTACTATATCAACATATTATTATGATATATATTATTATTTACTCAGTATAACAGTCTGTGTCTTATAATTCAAATGTAGACCATTTATATTGTTGCCGGACAGCTGCATCTAGGGAGGTCTCTTCCTGCGCACCAGGAGAAACCTCAACCTGGCTGGGGGAGGATTCTTGACTCTGAACCAGTCCAGCAGGTCTGAAGAGTATAGGTAAGGAAGGAATTCATTAGAACTAGAGTAGAAATGAATGGCAGTGGCCTTAAAGGCAGCTGAGAGCAGGAAAGCGCAGAGGTGTAGGCTAAACATTTTCTTGGTATAGGACAGATTTCCTTGCCATCTGTTAAAGCCAGGGTCACGTGGCATAGTGCTTGAGTTAGCACTGCGCGGGGACTAGCCCGTAGCACCCCGGGATTTGGAGAGCGGTGGAGCACAGAATAGAGTGAGATTGTGTTCCAAGAACTTCCCAAAGAAGGGAGATTTTCAGGCGGGCTCCTGCAGCTGCAGTTCCGTCCCAGTCACCCAAGCTACAGGAACTTGCAGGCCCAAATCTGAGCTCTCAACAGCCCCTTCCTACTTACGGGGAAAAAGGAGACTTGGAAATAGAATGAAATAGCAAAAAGACAAAACGCAGTGGGTTTAGCAGTGAGAAAGCTTTACTTAAAGGTGTGCACTTAAAGAGAAAAAGTGTGGATGTCCTCGAAGAGGCGGTACACTAAAAAGTTGGGCATTCCCTCTTTTAAGGATTTTTCAAAGGGCCAGAGGGTATAGACTTGTAAAGTGGGCTCAAAATACTTATCTCTGGTGAGAGACATTAAATCTCTTCCATTATCAATCCTCCAGGAAATTCTGCAAAATTAACACACAAAATTGTTCAGTACCTTTCTAGTATAGAAGCTTTCCTCTGGGAACATATCAATCAAGACTGCCCACCCTGCCCCCAAAGTGGATTGAGATATTGTCTGTTTGCTAAAAAATATGACAAGAGTCTTATTTCCTAACTTCCTAGTTTTTAAAAAGGAATGTTAGCTTTAAGATGGAATCCTTCCTGTTCTTACTATACTGTTTATATCTCAGCATTTTTCATCATAAGCAGGAAAAGTTAACTATGATGCTTGTCCCAGGTCTCTACCCTACATCAATATGAATGTAATTGATATGTTTAGATTTAAATCTATCATCATCCTATTTGTTTTCTGTTTGCTATATCCTTTTTCCTTTTCCCATTTTTCTGGCATTTTTACAGATTTTTTTTTGCAATTCATTTTTATCTCTATTATTGGCTTATTGGCTATTCCTTTTTTTTTATGGTGGTTGCTATACAGTTTTTAGTATATGTTCAATATACTAAAAATGATATACCATTTCTCTTATTAACTGCCTTTTATAGAAAAAGTTTACTAATCCTGAGGCCCTACCTAGATAAATGTCTTTTTCCAGGAGAAGTTTATTTCACACTTCTTATAGTTCAGGTCTGCTAGCAATGAACTTTTAAAAATCTTTTTGTGGAGGATATGTGTAGAATTCTAGGTCAACAGGATTTTTTTCCTTAAGTATTTTAAAGATGTTACTCTCTTGTCTCTGGCTTGTGTAGTTTCTGATAATAAGTCTGCTGCTATTCTTTGTTCCTCTTTTTTTATTGTCTTAAAATTATTTCCCCTTATTGCCTCTTTTCAACAGTTTAACTATGATGCACCTTCATATGTTTTTCTTTATTTTTATCCTGCTTTAGTTTTTCACATATTCTTGGATCTGTGATTTGTTGTTGCTCATTAAATTTAGAGAAATTTTTCTCATTATCTCTTCAAATATTTCTGTGGCTCACTTCCTAATTATGCATCTCCAAGTGAAAATGTGTTAAACGGTTTGCTATTGTCTTGCCTCTTTGTTGCTCTGCCCCTTTTCCTACTCTTCTCTCATTTCAGTTTGGACAACTCCTGTTGATTGTTCTGCAAGTTCTCCCTTTCCTCTATTGTGTACATTCTCCCAATAAGTCTGATAAAGGACTCATCATATTTTTCATTTCTAGCATTTTCATTTGCCTTTTTAAAAGTAGTCTCCACCTCTCTGTTAAAATTTTCCACTAGATCCATACACATGTTAGTTATAGTTACAGTGCCTGTGGGTAATTTCAATATCTTGTCCATCTCTTGGTCTGATTTTGTTGACTGCTTTACCTCCTGTTTTTCTGGGTGTTTCATAAGTTTGGATTAAGTGTCAGATATAACAAAAGAAAGGTAGAGACTGAGGTGTATCATATTTCTACCCAGAATGAAGGACAGGTATTGGCCAATGTAGTTAATAATTGAGCTGGATTTCAGTTTTGTTGGTTGTTAGAGTTAATCTTAAGTGCATGTCAGGCTTCAAATTCCTACAGAGATGGACAGCCAGTACTTCATGCTTAGTGTAAGGCATGGAGTGTCAATTGGTTTTTCTCAGCATTTCAGTTCCACATTTGTCTTTTAGCTTGTGATAACTTTGGGGACCCAAGGGGAGTTGGATATTTCTTGTGCTTTTGCCCCTCCCATAGCAATGAATTGCTATTGCTTGTTACAGGTGCAAGACTTTGAGTGCAGGCAGGATTAGTTTCTTGGTTCTTCTGCTCTAGTTTTAGTCTTACACAGACTTTCTATACTGTGCCTCAAGAGTGGGACTTTCCTTGCCTCCTCCAGGAGTGGACAGTCTTTCTCATCTACTTAGAGTGTAGTCTAGAGCTGCACTCAACAATAGCCAATTATTTACTTGTGGCTAGTGGTTGGCATATTGGACAGCAGAGATATACGATACTTCTGTCATTGAAGAAAGTCTTTTTGGACAGTGCTGTTCCAGAGCTTCGGCCAGTTTCCTGCACATTCCCATCATGATAGGTAAAGTCTGCCTAGTTTCAGTGTGAGGCGCTGGGTACAATGAGAGACCATTTCCTTTTCTTGTGGCAGCAGATCTTTGCTTTGAATAATTGGAAGATTTGGACATGAGCAGAATTCCTGTCCTTCTCCTAATAAGGTGGCCATTACCCTGCATCCATGAAGTATGAGAATAGCTGGGTTTTCTCCCTTAACCTGGGACTGGGGTGGAGAGGGTGTTTTGCCTCTTTCTTAGTGGCAGATAGCTTTTGCTTTATATTAGAACTCTGTCCAGGGTGTCAGCAGGTTTTGTGTCTGTCCCACGTAACACCTGACTTCACCTTATGCTTATTCAGGGCTTGGAGCTTGATGAGCTTTGCCTGATGTCCTTTCTCCAGCCTCAAACCTTGGTAGGTTCTGCATATCTATTTTCCATTTCCAAGCGTGTCTCTCTTAAGTCTCCTGCCCTCCTGAAAGTCTTCCTCTGAAGCACTGGATGGAGGCCCATGGAAAAATGCCGGCTGCTGGATTCAGACACCCCTGTCTGGGAATGCCAGGGATACTAAATTATCTTGCCAGCTCACACTTGGCTTCTAAGAATTTGTTAAAATTGGAATTTTTTTTTTCTGACCTTCTTTTATGACTGCTTCTTCTGTGTTCTCCCAAAGGTAAAACAGTTTATATGTTCCCTCTCTCCTCACAGGGCTCTATCACACTTTAGAATTCAGTTCTTTCAGTTGTCTTACTGCCATGGCTTTCAGTTGGGATTATAAAAAATAGTGGTTTTGTAGATTACTTTGTATTTTTATTGTTAGGCTGGAAATGATGTTCTGTTACAGCTTTCTGTACTCCCAAGTGATAGCAAAACTCTCCTATTCTTATTTGGAGTAAAAGTTAAAAGAGCAAGTTATTATAGATGACTGAAGGATTTTCTAGGGCAGTTGCTGCTCAAACTTGAATGTACAACCTGATCATCTGGGGATCTTGTTAAAATGCAGATTCGGGTTTAATAAATCTAAGATGGGAACTGAGGCACTCATTCCTAACAGGCTCCCAGGTGATCCTCATGCTGCTAGTGCATGTACACACCCTGAGTAGCAAAACATTGGGACACGCCATCTTATAGCTAACTTAAAGGAGCTTATATTAGTTATCTATTGCTAACTTAGATAGCAATGTAATGAATTGCTATATGTATCACATTCTCTACTGCACACACAATATTTATGAAGACCAACTATGTGCTAGGCCATAAAAAAAAGCCTCAGTAATTTCAAAGGATCAACCTCTGTCATAGCCAGTCTCTAAGATGGCCTCCAAATGAGCCCCACCTTCTAGTATTCATACCTTAATTGACAGTATTAGAGTCCTCTCCAATACTAAGTAGGGCTGATTGTGTAACCAAGAGGATATTGTGGAAATGATGGAGTAATGCCTTTTGAGGCTAGGTTATAAAAGACATTATGTCTTCCATCTCGGGATCTTAGGTAACTAGCTGTATGGGAAGGCAGCTGCCGTATCATAAGGACACTTAATGCAGCCCTATGGAGAGGCCCATGCGGCAAGGAAATGAGGCCTCCTGCCAGTAGTCATGTGAATGAGTCATCTTGGAAGCAGATTACCACAACCCCAGTCAAACTTCCCTTTCAGACGACTGAAAGTATAGGAAATTTTGAATATATCCTTTCCAATGTACATTGTTAGATTTAATTTTTCAACATTACTTTAGTCTTTTCTGGCTTTAGACCTATTGTGACTTATGGTGGGGCATTAGAGAACTGTCTACTAGTTATTTAGAAATATGGTAGAGAAATAGTGATGATGTTGTGGGATTAAAGCTCTAAGTTTGCAAGTCATCAACATTGATTTTCAGTAGAAGAATCAAGGAAAA